GGTTTTCAAGCCTCTGGGTTCTGGGCTTGAATCACTGTCAGCTATGTGGGAATCCAACACCTTAATCTCTATGCCACCTGCTAGCCCCTTTGTTCCTAGTCTTTTCCATTAGCGATCTTCTCTTCAATTTTGCCTTTTTATTTCTTGTTCTGAGTATTGATTCATTCAACAAATAGCACCGAGCAATGATTGTTACGTACTGGGGCTGCCTTTGTAAAGGAGAAGGCAGGCAGGCTTGGTTCTCGGGGGCCGTGAGGTGCTGTGTGTTTGAGTGTTGTGTGTGGACCAGGAAGCAGGTTCTCACACTGCAGTGTGGCCAGTGCTGTCTCGCATATGAGGATAGCAAGGGAGGCTGGGGGGAAACGGGACATGCAACCAACTGGGGGCCTGTGATGGCTTCTTGGAAGAAGCGAGGACTAAGTGGTCACTCTAGGATAAGCAGGGATTGGCCAGGCATAGGCATGTTTGATGGAGTCGGCCAGGGAGAGACCAGGAAGGCATTAACAACTGGAGAGGAAAATGCCATTTGCAGGTTATAGAAACCCTTCTCCAGCCCAAGAAGTGGACAGTGGCGCAGTCAGATGGGTGATGGTGCGAAGAATGGGACTGGATTGGGAGGATCGGGTCAGATCAAACAGCAGACATCCTGCTCAGCCATGAGAGACTGGGACATGATATGGAGGTAACGGGGGTGGAAGGAGTCTGCACTTCAGAGTGATGATGCGAGAGACTTTCCCTCAAGTGCCTCCCTTCTTAGGTCTGTCCTCATCCTCCACTTTAGGTGACTGGCGATCTTCTCTTAGGCTCGCAGACTGCATTGCATCCATTCATCAAGTCTAGCTTCCGCCATTAAGCAGTGTTCAGGTTCCTTAACACCATCTGCAACCCCACACCAGGTGTCTCCGGCCCTGTGGCCTTTCAGCTACGAGTCCCACGAGCCAGCATACAGTGCAGTGCTGCCCTGAGCTGGAGGCTAGCCCTGGTCTTGGTGGGGGAGTCCAGCTCATTATCCAAAACATTCTCGTCCTTCCATGAAAATGAAGTCTTACCTCTCCTATCGTAATCATCACTAGCCTTCCCACTGCGGAGTTTGCTGTGTCTATAAATGTGGAAAAGTCGGGAATGTTACAGAGACTTGGCAAAAGGAAGGGAAAGGCATATGGTGAGGTGGCCATTGCTGTCGGAAGTGGTTTGGTGGTTCAGTGGGAGGGAGGGGCAGTCCCCTCGAGGACAGAGTAGTGGACCATCGTCTAACGCCTGGGGCAGCATGAGTTGGTCTTGAGCCTGATTTTATCCTTGGCTGGACCGTTGCGGCATCACAGAACAGCACTGTTTATCATGAGCAGGAGAGGCAGACATCTTCACGGGGGCAAATGTATGGGTTAACTAATAGTAGTAAGGAGAAGTGGGTTTTGTCCATGCCACAATGATCACCATGAGTGAAGTTAGCCAGCATCCTACACCTCTGGGCCACAGGAGGTGCTCAGTTAGTACTCAGTGAGCAAATAAGGAACTCAGGGAGAGGCGGGCATTGACACCCTCTAGGCTCACAGTCTGCCAGAGACCCAAGTTACCGGGAGGTGCGGTATGTGGTATGGAGTGGGACACTGTGCCGCCAGGCACTCGGGCATTTAGACTGTCACATGTGCCTGAGCTGTGGCCCTTTGTCTCCTCACCAGAGGAGGCCGAGAGCACCTGTCCCCTCTTCCCAAGAGTGAGTTGCTTCCCCATGGCCCACTCCACCCGTTTCCTACTCAGCAAGTATCAGCTCCCAGTGTGGGCATGTCCTCCATTGCTTTTTTCCCTGCTTATTCTCCGTCACACTCGCATGTATTCTTTTTTTCTTTTTCGTGCATTGGTACATGTGGGCCCAGATGCTGTCTTCTTCTTTCTTTCATGCCAGGTTCTCTGTTGACTGTCGGACTCTCCTCTCACACTCACAGTGAGCCAGGGGAGAGGTAGTTAGAATCCTGGTCTCCCCAATACAAACATCGAGGCCCAAAGAGTGGTGCCTCAGTCAGGGTCACCCAGCTAGTGTGTGGGTGAGCCAGGGTTTGAACCAGGCCTGTCTGCCCCAGCTGCTTTTGCTCTACCGCTGTCTCCTGGGTGAATTCTAAGAGGAAAGACAGATGGGAAGGAGAAGAGGAGAAGACCCATAGTGACTGAATCCCCAGGTGCTTTGTGGCAGTTTCTAAGCTCTTCAAGGGCTGAACAAGGTCTTTGTCCATCTCCTCACTGTGTGGTTGGTGAGCTGGGCTGGGCTGGACTGTCTGCAGGGCTGCTTGGACCCCTCTTATTTCCCTGAAATTTTGCAGGAAGGCCTAACCATTTTGGTGGGGTATGTGTGTTGAGGGTCAGGAGAGTTGAGTGCCTCTTTAGGGTTTAGACCTGGTAGTGGGAGGGGGAAAGCACACAGCTGAAGGAAGTCGTATCTGCCAGTGATGTGCACTGCATCCTTTCTTCCCTCGACAGTCATCAGATTGTTTAAGTAGAGACAGAGCTGTCGAGAAGGCCGTTGCCTCTTGGGGCAATAGGTGGCCAGCTCTTTAGTTGTAGACTGATAGGACTGGCCATCCTTCATTATTCTACAATATCAAAATCTCAGGAACCTCCAACAAAATGTAGAAGCCGAAAAGTTTTCTAGAGGAAGGTTGCCCGAAGTCTGGAAGCAGCGCCTCATGCCAGGTGTCCTTGTACAGGGCCTGGTCCCCATTCCCTCCCACGGACAGCCAGGCCCCACTGCCATTGGTGATCCAGACCAGACTGCTCAGCACCGCTTTTCCCTGGTGCAGTTGAGGGAAATCAGTCTGCCGCAAGCTTGGATGAGGCAACTGACTCGTCAGCCAGGGTTCAGAGGCGCAGACTCCTCCGTGCGGCCTCAGTGTACACAGCGACAGTGAGCGTGGTTTTGATTACTGCATATGTATCTCCCTGACGAGGGCAAGAAGTTCTTGGACTTCTTCACTGTGAGCCCCCCTCTGCACTCCCGCACATACAGGCTTCACATTGGCAAAGCGCTTGCAGGCCTGTTGCCTCCCTGGATCCCTATCAGGACCCCTGGAAGGAAAAGAAATGGACTAGCACTTTCCTGTGCATACAGATCTGGGATCCGAGAGGTGTAGTGGATTCCCCATGGCTGCACAGAGTACCTGGCGGAGGCAAAACTTGGACCCAAGCTTCGGACTACCAGCTTAGACTGTAGGAATCAATTTTGGCAATGTGTTAAGTGAGATGTTGATAAAGTTTTACGTTTTCCCTGCAATGATAGAGGGAAGAACAACCAATTGGGAACCTCAGTGAGGGATATTTTGGGTTCTGAATTACAGAATAGCTGAGTAGAGGTGGCTTTGGCAAAACAGGAATGTCAGGTTCATGTAAGAAGCCAGAGGAGGTCGGCTGTAGCCTTGGTACAGTGGTTCACCAGTATCATCAAATTCCCACATTGGTTTCATTGTCCCACTCTTTCTCTCTGTCTCTCTCCCTCTCAAGCTTTGCTTTCCATTCTTTGTCTTGTTACCTCATGGTTGGAAAATGGCCGCTGCTACTCCACAATATCATCCCAAGCAGAAAGAAAGGAACAGTTGTAGAGGAATTTTCCTTTAATGACTGGCAATAGTTATATTGAAACTGATTTTTACTTTGTTTCATGACTGGGCAGGGTTTACTTGACCACCCCTAGCCACAAGACAGGCTATGAAAGCATGTATCTGGCAGAGGGGGTGAATAGCTGTACTGGCTAGATCGATCGTGTTCGAGCCTCAGAGATGAGTATGTCATCACCCTGGACCATGTCAGTCAGCAAAGGAGGTGAAGGAGAAGGGGATGGCTATTTCTCAGCAGTGTCCAGTGTCAGTCCACCGTGGATTGAGAGCTTTTGGAGAGGTTCTTTCCAGAGAGCTTGAACTGTGCAAGTGCTTCTTGGATCCTGAGATGATGTTCCATTTGTTAACCAAAAGTCACACTCCTATTTCTCAGTGGCTAATTTTAGAATTGTGTGTACACACACACACACACACACACAAACACACACATGCATGCACACATGCACACACACACACCCCTATGCATACATATTTTTTTTCTCCATGCCTCAGTGAAGGATATTTAAACTTGAAAACCACTATGGTATAATTTTTAAAACTCTTAAGTGACTAAGAAAAAAAGTAGAGAGAAGGCAAAAGTCAGACTGATGGGGAAATAAGGAGGCTTCTGGGTAGAGAGGAGAGGGGTCTTTGAAGTCCTGAGATGGGCGACCTTGAGGTCAGACTGCCTGGCTTTAAATCTGGACTGAAGCTCTTACTTCCTGGTGTTGGGAGCCAGTCGCTCACCCTTGCTCTGTGTCAGTTTCCCCGTATGTGAAAGTAGCCTGGTTGGAAGTACCTAACACATGAGGTTGAGATAGCCACCTACGAAGTGTAGCCTGTGCCCAGAGTGAGTGAATGCTTAGTTAGGGACAGTTAGTTGCCAGTGCTGCTGTTACCACTGTTACCATGACTAGGCAGAGTAAGCCTCTGCCTGGGAAGCCCCAGGTATCCCAGTCCCTGTTGCAGCAGCTGCAGGTCCAGCCCCTCTTCCGTCCACCCCTGCAATATGTCTAACTGTTGCCTTAGGCTTATCTCTTTATTTCCCTCACTCCCTGCTCCCAGCCTTGCCACACTTTTAAAGCCCAAACTCCTTAGCTAGACCTTGTCTAAGAGCCGGGCCTGTGAGAGATGGTCCTGATCTTGTCGGCACGTGTATGCCCGTGTACTCGGGGAGGTCTCCGGATGCAAACCCAGAACCTTTCCATGTGGGCCAGCTCTGCGGAACATTGCCTCATACCACCGTGGTCTGACCCTGGGAAAGCCATCTAACGTGACTAAATTGAGCCTGTGAGTGTGCTGTTTCTACGTGTGTCTGTGTTGTGCATGTGCGCGCATGTGTATGTTCTTAAATTACTCAGTACTTTCCTGCGAGTCCCTAATTCAGTCTTTCCTCTTGGCTCTTTCTTCCCTCTGCAGTATAATGAGGAGCTTCACTACGTGGAACCATGCCTGAATGGGACGTTGGTACAAGCTGACAGGACAAACAAGGAGGTAGGGGCCGCCATTGGGCAGGAGCACCAGCTTCGTGGCACATCTGCATCTTCCCATAGCGATGGCTTACCGTCATGATTTTTAAAAACTCGTCAGTTGTACTGCCCTCTCATTGAGGCCCTTTGAGTTTTGGTGTGTAGCATGTTTCTTAAAAAGCACAGAAAAGTCATGGCACTAAGGTGAGGACATTGTGTTCAGATGCTTGGTAGTTCTGAAACGATAGCATTGCCTTTTTTTTTCCTCTTACTTGAAGCAAAGCCTTCATGACACTTGATGCCGTGTTGAAACCAATGAAAGAATGTGGCTCTTGCTGAGAGCCTTTCTTTCTTCAAAGAAAATACAACCCACTTGTTATTTCCCTTATATTTATCACAGCTGATTCAATGATCATTGGAGTAGCTATTGGGGTAACATGTCTTCTGATTAGAAGGTATCTTAAGTCTGTTTTTTGTTGCTATAACTGCATACCACAGACCAGGTTATTGACAAAGAATAGATGTTTGGATCAGCAGGTGGTAAGGTGGTTAAAGTGCTGGATCCCACACGGGCCAACCATGGTTTGAGTCCTGGACCTGATGGCTTGAAAATCATGCCTAGTGCAGGTGCATGCATGCCCAATATCCCAAAAGGAGAATGAAGGAGAAGGGATTGTGGCATGGCCACCCCCATCAGGGGGTGATTTCTCACTTTCTCTTTCTTTGTTTCTCTCTTCTCTTTCTGGTGAGTACATGCACCATCGACAAAAACCTTTGAAAATATGAGGTTTATTGATCTCACGGTACTAGAGTTTAGGAAGTCCAAGGTGAAGGGGCTGGCATTGGGCCAAGGCCGCCTTCCGCGTTATAACATGGTGGAGGGCATCAGATGGTACAGATGGTGGAACAGAGCAAGCATGCTAGCTTGAGTCTCTTTTCCTCTTTTCCATCATGGGGACCCCACTCTCACGACCTCATCTAATCCTACTTACTTCCCAGCAGCCCCACTTTTTAACACTGTTACAGCCAGGATTAAATTTCATCATGAGTTTAGGAGGAGATGAACTTTCAAAGAACAGCAGAAGGTAAGAATTATGAGGAGATAGGAATGGTGTCTGCTCACTGTTACATCCTCAATGCTCCAGCCATCGCTCGTCCCATAAATATTGTGGAACAAAGGAAGATATATTAAAAGAGAATTTTAAAAAATGTGATAGAAATTTCCTTTCCAGTTAGAACAGTCTAAGAAAGTTTCTAAGATAAAATTCTATAAAGTAAATTCTGAGTACCTTCAGCCACCTTTCCCTTTGTCAATATGACCATCAGCAGAGCAGACAATTAGGTTGGAGGTATAGCTGCGGCTGCCACCATGTCACACCTTCCGGGACTTGGAGTCATCATTTCCCATATTGTTTTACTGTACCTGTGACACAGGGCTGTTCTTCCTCAAGAGCAGACCCCCATGAGGTGGCCATGGGTGGTGGGCAAAGTAGGCTTCTGTGAGGCACAGTGCGTGTGCTGGAGAGCACCCCCTAGCCCACATGCACAGTGCTGTTGGTGCTATCTTAGATGCAAGTGAGGGAAATAGCTGGTTTGGGTATCTTAGGGGTAAACACATGAGTGGGAAAATTCATTCCAGTTGAGATGCAGTGTAAGAAGGAAACTTTATATCACAGTTAATGTCTGAGCTTCAATTCAAGGGGAAGGAGCATCGTAACAAGGTTTATTATTATTATTATTATTATTATTATTATTTTTAAAGTTTCTGCCATAGGGTACATGTGCTCACTGGTGAGAAACAGAGAGAGGGAAAGTGAGAGATCACCCCCGGGGGAGTTGGCCATACTGCAGTCCCCTTTCTTCCATTCTCCTATTGAGATTCTGAGCATACATGCACATGTGCCTAGCGTGGTTTTCAAGCTGCTGGGTCTGGGACTCGAACCACGGCTGGCAGTGTGGGAGTCCAGTGCCCTAACTACCACAACACCTGCTGGCCTCTGTAAGCTTCATTTTTTAAGATGGAGCAATAAGTACGTTATAATTCAAAGAGCAAGCGTATCCCGGGAATGATTATTAATGGTTATTTTCTAGAAAAATGACTTTACTCTGCAGCCACATTTCTTTATGGAATTTTCTGTCAGCTGGCCACAGCCTCAGGGAGGATTCCACCTCCTTTTTGTGCATCAGCCTCATATAAGTGTCCAGTGATGGTGTTCATAACATTAAATAAAAATAGACTCAAGTGGGGACCAGCAGATGGCGTAATTGTTACATCTCTGGACTCCCATGTATTTGGCTGCAGTTCAAATCCTGGACCCAGTGGCTTAAACATCGCGGTGGGTGCATGTGTGTGCATACCCAAGATCCTGGAGGAAAATGAAGGAGAAAGGATTATGGTGTGGTCACCCTCCCGGGGGGGGGGGTGATTTCTTGCTTTGTGTCTCTCTGAGAGGACATGTGCCCTATATCAAAAATCTCTTTTAAAAAAAATTATATATATGCTTAAATGATTACAGGTTTCCTGCAGTTGGCTTCCCAAAGGAGCAAAGGAGATATGTGGAGATAGCTCCTCTCTCGATTTTAGGTGCACATGTGCCCAGAGTGATTTTCGAGCCACTAGGTCTGGGACTCAAACTGTGGTTGGCCATGTGGTAGTCCAGCGTCTTAACCACTTCACTACCTACTGGCTCCATACTGGAGTAGTTTTGAATAGAAAATGTGAAAAAGTGTATTATAAGAATAGATTATGGCCCAAAGCTTGGAGAGTAGTCATGCAAGAGCTGGCCAAATCATGGTCCTGAGCTACGTTTTGAATTCTTTCATCACAATGAATAACTACTTCGTTTAAGGTCATGGCTCTCCTCAGAGAACACCTCTCTTAAATAGCCTTTTATTTTTTATTTTATTATTTTTTAAGGAGAGGTTTTTGCTATAGAGCACATGCGCTTGCCAGAGAGACAGAGAAAGACAGAGAGAAAGAAAGCAAGAAATCACCCCCTGCCAGAGGATGGCCATGCCACAGTCCCTTCTCCTCCATTCTCCTCTTGAGATTTTGGGGCATGCACACACACACACACACCTGGCATGAGTTTTAAGCCACCAGGTCTGGTACTTGAACCATGGTCAACTACGTGGGAGTCTAGTAGTTTATGCCATCTGCTGTTCCTGATAGCTTTTTATTTTTCTTCTCCAGTGAGAACTGTGATTTGGGAGATTTTAGCTCTTAGGATTTCAATGTCTGGAAATTTAATCTTTTAAGATAATGATTTGGAGATTTTGTATGTTAGAGATTTCTGATTTAGGGATTCTGATTTTTTTTAATTCACCATTTGGGATCATGGTGTTCAGGACTGTCTTTTGGGGTTGTGATCAGTGTTGCTTTAGTTATTTAAAGTAGAAATACCACTTGTAGTCACTTTCTAATGGCAAAGTTTCAATCTTTAGACCTTATAGGTCTTGTTATTCTGGAAAAAAAAAAAAACCTTAGAAGATAAAGTATTTATTTTTTTATTGCTGTCTTGGGATATTTTAAAATAAAGAACTTCACTGATTTATTTGAGGCAGTTTCCATATTTATCATCAATTCAGTATTAATAAGCCATGTACATTCAGGACTCATTTAACGGCATATGACAGAGACTAACAAAGTTACAAAAACGCAAAATAGAAATCTGCAAAAAGCTCACCTAACTGCAAATGCCTGGGGTGTAAAGATTGTCCACAAGGCCTCAAACTTGAAGTCAAGAGTTGTCCCTTCTCCCCAGCTGTCTCCCAGCTGTGGCCTCTGTGCGCTCCTCATGGTTCAGCTAAGTCAGGTGCCCTGTCTTCAACCATGATTGCATCTTAAGAGATGGGGCACCCAGCCAGCAGCCTGACCCAGGGGTAAACACCTGTGGCTCGGAAGTAGGCGTGTGTTGGACAGACCTGCCTGGTTTTCCAGAAGGAAAACACTGCCAAAAACCAGGCCTGTGAGTTTGATGTTCCATAGAAGAAGCATGAATGGATCAATGAATCAATGAACTCAATGAGCCACCTGGGAAAGGATTCTCATTGAAAGATTTTTTTTTTATCCCCCATTTCAATAGACTATCCAAAAAACATTGAAAACAAAGCATGAAACTCATTACATTTTAATATAATCAGGACAATCTGAATTAGATTGTGGGTGAAATTATTAGATTCTAGGGCTGGCAGTCCTTGCTGGTCTATTTCTGGCCAGATACTCTGAACAGCAGCTTTGAGACCATTTTCTCAATGCTCTGTGTGTGAGGGGGATGACAACCTTCTGCAGAGCCCTGTATGGAACTGGCAGTGTGGCCACTGATGCTAGCCTTCTGTCCTCTGAGTTAAATGATTCTGATTAGAATGTGCCCAGTCCTTTGGCATGTTTCATTCTTTAATCAACACACTTTTAGGTGTCCTGACAACTTCTTATGGCATGCAAGTATCCGAGGTTTTTTCCTTACCCCTATTTTTCATCTTATAACTATTTCCATGGTGGCCACTGTCATAGTACTTTCCATCAATGAAAGGACATGAAAAGGCGTCCCGAAGGTGACATCTGAAATTACAGTGTTGTGTACCTTCAGTCCATTGGCAGGCAAGTCTGATGTTACCCTATTCAGATGACTCCCTGGAGAAGTCAGAACTAGATCCTTTAATTAAATCAGCATTTGATAAAACTCACCTAAAATCTTTGACATGGGAGTTAAAGGCTCTTAGTGAGTCTTAAAATAGAAGAATGGGGGACCAGCAGTTAGCATAATGGCTATATTGCTGGACTCCCATGTAGTCGACTGTGGTTTGAGTCCCGGACCTGGCGGCTTAAACTCACGCCGGGCGCGTGTGCGTGCATGCGTGCCCAAGATCCCGAGGGGAGAATGGAGGAGAAGGGATTGCGGCGTGGCCATCTCCCCTGGGGGGTGATTTCTCGCTTTCTGTCTCTCTCAGTCTTTTTGGCGCACGCACACACCCGGCCGACCCCCCCCCCCTAAAGCAAAAACCCCTCCAAAAAAAAAAAAAAAA